ATGCAAGAGCTCTGCTCCACTGCTAATAAGATTACCCGTAAAACAAGAAATTATCACGGTTATCCAGACTTTGGTTAATGAAAGAATCTATCATCAATGGGATTCAAGACAATAGGCCGGTTTTTCTAACCTAAAAGAGTGATAGCGAGCTAAGACAGTCTAATTTTTTACTTTTTGTCAAACTCTCAGACCATTTTCGTCGTTCTAAAAATATAATACTTCTACATTCAATTAATTATTGTAGAGACTTATCTCATTTATATTATCTTTTTTTTCCCCCTTATTTCCTTGGTATTCCTTGAGCAGATAATTCCAAGATATCAAAAAAAAAAACTTAATTTTCTCTAAATGTATTATTATTGATTTAGGTAGGAGGACCGATATGAGCATTATACTTAAATGTTTGCCTGAGTTATGATTCAGATTGCACACCTAGCACACCTGGCTAAACGGCCTAGAAAAAGGCGAACTTTCGGAAAACAAAGCGTACTCCATTATGGCAGTAACTCCTGCCCTTTCCATGAATAAAGGCTTACAAAAATTCACCACTAGAAAATATTATCCTTACAGTGACCTACGTTCGGAAAATACATCGTTTACCAATAGGGAAAGAAGCAGCCAAAGAGGAGGAGTCGAAGCCTGAGGAAGACGACGATATGGGTTCCGGTCTCTTCGACTAAAMAGCKCAACACGWAAGTTGATATTGATAGCTCGTAGMGGCAATGTTGAAACATTCACGTTCATCGAAAAATCATCTCAGATGAGACTTATTTCTGGCTTAATGGCTTCATCAAMAAACAAAATTCCTGCTATTGGAGTGAGTCAAGTCTTCGTGAGGTCCAGAAAATGCTCYGCATACTAAAACATTGACCGTTTGGTACGAATTGTGTACGGCGACATCATCGGAACCTTGTTTCTATCGAAATGACGCAGGAAATACCCGAACAATCAATAGTRTTCGCTATACCACGATRTTGACCGACTTTTTTCCATTTAATGAAAATGGAAATTTSATTTTAATGAAATGGACGTAGACGAATGGATGTGGATCTCTTATGTGATGAGTTATCGGTAGAATTAGCTAGCTAGCTATGGCAAAKACGCTCTACTGAAAATATGGCAAAGTACAATTTTTAAGTAGTATGACTCATTGCCCCCTTTTAGAGGGAGTAACTCTGACATTTTAACAGTTATTTTGACAAGTCATGGCAATTTTTGTAGGCTTTTAATTTTAAATTGAGTTAAAATTTTTTGATGACGAATTTCTTGAGGAGCGGCAGAGAAATCGATTGATTGAATCGCGATTATTATAGATACAGTACACAAAGCATTGCCACAGTGCAGTTTTAGGTTTGCTCATTGTCTAATTGTAGGAAAAAGTATTGCAGTTGCCATCTGCTGGCAAATTAGAAGCCAACATTTTATAATATAAAAGACCARTAAAGAGGTTTGAAGATGAGGAAGTTAAGATATATAACTTAAATAGGGTTGCCACCTTTTTTATAATTATAATTCAATGGAATTTGCAATATAAAATAACTAAGATATGAGTGTAAAACTGTAGAAGTTTAATCAAGTTTACAGTTAGAAAAATAATTTATATTTAATTAGAGTTGCCAACTATTTATGAATTTAATTCAAAAAAAATTGTTGTGATTTTATTATAATAATGGGATCAAATAAACCAATTTAATGAAGGCTTAAAATATATTGTTTTATTGGCATTGCCAGATGTGAAATTTTACATTTAAGAAGAATTAAAGTAAATATTAATATTTCTAAAATCAAAAAAACATTAAAAAAAATTTTATCAACGATTTTTGAGAAAATGGAAACAGAAAAATAACTTATATGTATCCATTTAATAAAGTTTATGTGATTTTATTACAATAATGGTATCAAACGACAGAATGTAATGAAGGCTAAAAATATATTATTTTATTAGGGATGTCAGGTACTAATAAAAATTTTATCAATATGAAATATCCCTAAATTAAAAAACAAATAGGAAAAAGATTTTCACCAACGATTTTTTAAAAAATAGAAATAAAAAAAATAATTTATATTTCATTACAGTTGCCACCAATTTAGAAATTTCATTCAATAAAATTTTTGTGATTTTATTATAATAACGGCATCAAGCAAACGATATTAATGAAAACTTAAAATGGATTATTTTATAAAGGTTGCCAGATGTTCAATTTAAAATTTTATAAAAATTATAGTAAATATCAAATAAAAAAACAAAAACAAAAACATATTTTTATCAACGTTTTTTTTGTTTTTTAATGTGGTTGCCACATGTCACAACATACTTTTTTATTCAAAGCCATCCAATAAAATACGCCCTCAATTTTTGACTCATTTTCAGTGAGTCTTTAAGCTAAGTATAATCCATATTGTCAGCGAAAATTAAAGAAAGGCGCAGAAAACTGTGTCATTTTACACCGTTAATCACAGCACTTGATTCCTGTCATTATTGTGCCTACCAGATAAACTGTTACTTTTATTTATAACACCACTGCAATATTGCGCTTTGTCACTTGACAGCGCTTTATCTCCGACGCATATATTGAGAAAAGATAAATATTGGTTAACTGTTGGCGTACTTCTTTCTTATTGGCGTTAATATGAAAAATGTGTATGTTAATTTAAGATAGCAAACTACAACTCAAAGTATGTACGATACAAAAACAAAAGCAATAATGGTGTTGCTTTTCTTATCTAAATTGGTTATCAGGTTTTATAAACATTGGCATTTTTACAGAACTTGACGTCATCTGGACCAAGCAAGTCCATTAGCTTATCAGCGTGAAAAAATGCAGAATCGGCTTCATTTTTTTTGTTGTTGTTGTTTGGTATTGTATTTAAGAATTTCAGATAAGATATTACCATTTATTATTTGCAGAAGATATTTAAGGGTATTCAAAAATTAGTTGCGACGCTTATGCAGTCGGGTCTGCGTAACCGGAGCGGACCCAGATTTTTATCTGGCCAAAGACTGCCAACTGCCGCTACAACAACTGACGAAAGTAAATTTGAATCTCTTTATGACGTTTACCCTTTTCGTAATACCGCCTCTTGGAAAAAAGGTAGTGGTAATAGAAAGGTGGCAAATACTGCATTAAAAATAATTTTTGTAACATTTTAATTTATTTTTGTGCTTTCTTTTGAACCCCGAACCATAATTGGCAGTAATTTTCAAATTTTAAAATCCAAATGAGGAATTGAAAAATTAAAAATAAATTTTAAAAACCAAAAAGCGGATTGAAAAATAGATTAAAAAAATTAATTCCAAATAATACTCATAATTTTTTTTTTATTGATTTGGTTCTAAACATAAAATGTTCGATTTATAATTCAGATTTTGCATATAAAACTTTAATTTTAAATTTTTTCAACATTGTAGATTTTAGGTTAAAAGATTATCATTAAAATTTAAAAAAAAAAGAATAAATTTACAATTTTTAAATTTTTTAGTTTTAAAACTCGTTTTTGATTCTTAAACCCCTAACCTTTAATATTGCGTTTCAATAATCAATGTATAATCCACGAACCTGTATAAGACCCCAGTTGATGTATATAATCAGTTGATGTATATAATCTGATTAACACTCTAACTTGCACATACGCTTGCCGCCAGACACTTTGAAGCACTACTGCATTAAAGGAGCTTTATATGCAAACTGACATCTTTTTTATGTAGAAAGTCTTACGAATTGTGTAATTTTACCATTCAAATCAGTAAGCATTTATTTTTAAACTATGATCCAACCAAACACAACAATAAGTGCAGTGCAGTTGACAATATTGCAAGTAATCAGGAAATCGATAAATTACCATCACGTGTGTGTAGCGATAATGGGGTCATACCTCAGTTTCAAATTATACACTCCCCCCACCACCCATTACCCCATAACATTGCGAAATCCTTAGTGGCGTGCTGCGAATGTTAAAATTTTACCAATCAAAGAGCCTACAAAAAGAACAAACGAAGTTATCTACACTAAACAATAATAAGCAGCGTTGCATTAGCGACGTCATCAGTGTAAAAATAAGTTGTATCAAAGCATATCAGAGAGTAACAGTGGTGTGATGGGTCATTGACCAAATTTCAGGCAACGCACAATGTGCTGGCGACTTCCCATAGACACAAACTACAAAAACTTGTGGGGTAATCATCAACAGCGTTGATGGAAAGAGTAAAACCAAAAAAATTATGAACAACCCACACAACAACAATAATAACCGTTGCAGCAGCGTCTCCGCCACTGTCGCAAGCTTTAACAACAATGGACAAAACTACAATGTGTGTGTGTACAACACATTAAACATAAGCAAAGCAAGAAACCAGCTTCAATACAAAAAAAAATAATAAAACGCCAAAACGACTACCAACAATGAGCGTTTTAGCCGCTTGCGCGTGTCATTTTTTCCCCACTTTTTGTGCATTGTTTTTGTAGTCTTTGTGTACATTTATAACATTTGGATTTAAAATATACGTGGATTTGCTAGCTGGGCTCTTTGTGCTGTGGTCGTTGCTATTGGATCTGTTAGGTTGGTTGTTTGCTAGCGCTTGTGTGTGTGTATTTCAGTTGTGTACAACTGCTTTGCTCGCTACTAGAGCTGTGGGCATTACGTCATTCACAGAAATAAACCAGCACACGGTAGAGCGTGTAGGCACGCATAACCAAAGAGCAGTGTATAAAAGGCAGAGAGTAGTGCTTCGACACCGGTATATTGGACACAATACCAGCCAATTGAGGACCTACGGCATTTAGAGTAAGCGTTGAGTTGCGTAGGTTAGAAGTTGTCGTCAATTCCTAAAGCGTTTACGTTCTCAAGCGTTAGTGCTTGTATGGAGCGCAGCTTTGCATTTCATTCATAATCATTTTTAATGATGCTAACACGTTTTTGATTTATGAGCGAAAAATAAACAGAAGGAAGTATATAATATACAGATATATGTATGTATGCGCAGAACAGATATTGACACCTACCTGAAGAATAATTTGACCATTTTCATTTTTGCGTGCGGCACCACAGCTAAGAAACGACAGTTATCCAATCGATTTAGCTTGAATAGTTGGCAGCTTATTGTTCCCAACTTTCACATGTATGCTAATGTTGTTAAATGTAATTCCTTGTTCCAATGACAATTGAAGTCCAATGCACTTGGACATTACAATTGCAGCTATATTTGTCGCAAACGCTTGTATACTATATACACATTTACCTTGGCGTACAGCATTCGAGAATGCATTGGCTCTTCCTGCTTTGCACTAATTGGATTCTTTATTGTTGTTGTTGCAGTAACAAACAGCAGCCACAACCAGCACTATTTCTGTTTGCTTTTCTTAAATAATTTTTTTTTTGTCTTACAATTACTCGTTCAAAAAGGTATGATTCATCGCACCTGGATCGTTGGTGCGGGATGCGCGACGTTTAATTTACCACGAGAATAGACACACCGTGGACGGACCGACAGACGAGAACGTACATAGCAGCACACAAAAAATAAAACATACCTACATGCATTTGTATGCATATAACACTCACACGACACTGTTGAACATATAGCGCCAGTGTTCGCTATCCGAATTTCACTGAAAAGTATTACGAATACATATGACGTTTATGAATTTAATAAATTGCATGTTTTGTAAATATTAATTAACATTATTGTTGCCTTTGCTTGCGCAGTTTTTAACGGAAATATTTTTTTATTGATGTAGAATCACACAAAATAAAAAAAAAAACGAAAAAACACTCGATACACGAAACAAACTGTGCAGCAACAATGAGAAAGCGAAAGCAAAATAAATTTACAATGTTGCCAGAAGAGTGCGCTGTTCAGAAGTTGTAGAAGAGCGACGGCGTATATACGTAAATTAAACGCCGTTGAATTCTGCTGGTTGACAATTTCTTAGTAAAGAATGCAGACTTTATTTAAGAAAAGTTTAGAAAAACAACCAGGACTCGGGGTTAAAACTGGTGTGGGGGTTTGAGGTGGAGAGACTAACAATGTAAGAAATCAAGTTATGGTTATTAGAAACTTCAAACGCAATGCTTTATTTTCCAATGTAAAAAATTTTACTTGATGTAATGATCTACAGATTCTAATTTTGGTTTTGGACTTAAAAGAATTCTTTCAGCTAAATAATTGATTTATGGGTTTATAACTTCTTATAAGTTAGAAAAACTGGATATCCTCAATGGCATAATCGAATTCTGGAAAGATCTTCTTGTAATTGTGTCTGTTGTCGTGAAAACTTTTCTGCTTAAAACGAACTCAAAACCAGACACAAAACAAGTTATTGTTACAATAGATAAATATAGCTGATGACCGAAAAATTGGTTAAAATTTCGATTTCTCACAAAACGGCAAMATGAAGAAAACAAATCGTATTCTGTAAAAACATTTAAACGATGGAGTAGCCTTAAAGAAACAAAGTTTTATCAAAACCCTTATTCCTTCGTTCATTACTCCACGAGAGTAGAACTCTTCCTTTTCCTCCGCTTCCCCCGGATGCTACTTCGTCCAATACTTTCAGGGCTGGAGTGTTTTCGTCCATTCGGACGACATGACCTTGCTGGCGCATTCGCTACCTTTCAATCCGCTGAACTGTGTCAATGCCGTCGTGTATCTCATGCGGTATTCCCAGAAGATAACGCAAAAGGGATCATAAATCTTTCGCAGAACCTTTCTCTCGATAACTTATAACGCTGACTCATCATATGTTTTCACCGTCCATGCCTCTGCTCCATATAGCAGGACGGGATGATAAGTAACTTATAGCAGTTGGTCGTTTTCTTCGAGGGAGGACTTCACTTCCCAATTCACTACTCAGTCCGAAGAAGCACCTAATGGCAAGAGCCTTGCATTTCAGTGCGCCAATTGCTGTTGGTGTTAATGCTGGTCCCAAGATAGACGAAATCAGCTATGATCTCGAAGTTATGACTGTCTACAGTGTCGCAGCAGCCAAGTCGCGAGTGCGACGACCGTTTGTTCGATGGCAGTAAATATTCCGTCTTCCCCACGTTCACTACTAGACCCATTTGCTTCGCTTCCTTRTCCTGTCTGGAAAGCGGAACTGAAGGATGGAGCCATGTGTAGAAGTGAGAACATAATTATTTGAACAAAAAAAATTAAAAAGTAAAAAATACATTTTCCATCAAAAATAACTTCCAGCTTATTTTTAAACTTCCTGTTAACTGACACTTTTGCTAATCTCTGAACCTTTATTACTAGTTGAAATTTCCTACAGATGGCACCACAAACTGTACGATTTAARTTGCTTCATAAAAGCCCCTGCTGGCAACCTTACACAAACCAAACAAACTGTTGATGACTTAATATGTCGCAATACAGTGAAACTGTGCTGCGCCTTCAAAACTGTCAATATTTATTTATTGCTTATTATGGTGCACTTTTCGTGACTTTATTTGCATGAAAAAGCACACATCCCGTTGGAAGTGAACACGCAAATATATAAATTCGCCTGCTCTCATGTACAATCAAAGTGTGAAAATTTGTACACTTCCACAAGCAATCCCCGAAGGACGCTGCAATTAGCTAAATTAGTTGGTGAGCGAGTGCTAGTTGTGCAATGGCACTTTGGCCGCCGCACACCTGCCAAACACAAGCACTCAATTTACAACGCTATCATTGGGGAATGCGCTAAAAAGCTAATCCAGATGATTTATGCAGCATATTTGGCGCTAAAAGTTGACGCTTGCACACAGTTGGTTGATTGTGCATAAAGCGCTGCACATTGGGTGAGCGGCGGTGTTTTTGACAGCAAACATGCATGCGCGTACATGCACACATTTAGCATAATTTCTGTATTGAAATTTGAAACAAAAAGAAAGCGTAAGGTGCATCAGCAAAACAATCAAGAAATTTACACAAAGTGTCAGTTGTGGCAGCTTGTGGCGTCAGTGACTTTAGTTGCACACTGAGTGGCCTAACGCTTGTGAGACTACTCTAGGGTTTTAATGCATGCATACATGCATAACGGTGTATGTAATCGCACTTGTTTCGGTAAGTGGTTGCATTTCCTCTTCGACGATTTTATTGTCATTTTTGCAATTTCTTAATTACAGTTGTGAATKGCTTAACGAACAGCTCGGGCTATATGAACATACTCTGTGTATGTATGTATGTTATATACATATGTATGTATGTATATATTGTTGGAGCAGACAATGCATTGCAAGCTTTTATATTGGGCGTGGCTTATAATGACAGCAGCGTGAAGTGTTGGAAATTTCCTTAATGGCAATTAACATGGAAATGATGATGCGTTTGKGGAATGGAGCTTATTTTAATTGATTTTCTTTTTTTAATTTTTTTTTGGATGCGTTATATGTCATGTGACTACATTGAGAGCGGATTCCTTGGCTCAATTTGATTTGGAATATTGAAGTTATAATTTGTAATACAACTCACACCAACTTTGAGTAGCTTCTTGTAGAGCAAAGGACGTGTGAAAAATTTCAGACCGATATCACACAATGGMACTAGTTCTAGTATATACAGACAATACCATTTAAAATTTTTACTGTAATTTTTTTTTTATATATAGAAGACTTATGGCAAAAATTGGTTCCAGGATTTTCACTTGACATAGCAACGTAGAATAATTCTTGTCAATAGGTGCTCCTTTGGACTRCTTAGGCAATTGAGAAGTGAAGTCCTCTCTCGACGAACAAAAACTAAGCTCTACAAGTCACTCATCATTCCTGTGCTGCTTTATGGTGCAGAGGCATGGACGATGACAACATCTGATTGGTCGACGTTGCGAGTTTTCGAAAGAAAGGTTCTGTATTCGATGGAACGATGAGCTGTATGGGATACACAACGACATTGACATAGTTCAGCGAATTAAARGACAGSKKCWACGTTGGCTAGATCGTGTCGTCCGAACGTCCGAAAATGCTCCAGCTCTGAAAATATTCGACGCAGTACCCGCCGTGGGAAGTAGAGGAAGAGAAAGRCCTTCAATCAGACCTGGCTTCGCTTGGAATCTCCAATTGACGCCACATTACGAAAGGAAAGAACGACTCGCGCGCTGTTGTGAACTCGGCTATTACTCGTCTACGCGAGTAGGTATTAAAGCTTAATGAGCCTCGCTTCCCATCGTCCAATAGACATCGATAAAGCAGGTGAAGTGCTATACCAATCTATTACTGATATGTTTTGTTTTAGCTTTCAACTTCCCCAAAAATAGTCCAGGACGGGTAATCAGGTCAGGCTTGCACTGAAACCAGATGTTGGCCTTGGTCGCATCGTTAAGTCGCGAGTAATCTCTGCATTGTGCACGATGTAGAGAAATCGCTCAATTAATACGTACGAATCCAAACGGAGTTAGATTCTCGAAATAATAGCAAAATCCGAGTCAATTCCGGTATCGTAGAATCAGCGGCGCTGAGAATGCCRWCCCAATATGGTCGCCCAACGAGCATCTACAGAGCGAGGTCCGCATGYTTCCTGTAAAGGAGCATTTTCGCAAAAACCAACCTCGCAGGCACTTGCTTGAACGTAGCCGYCTCCTAAGGGCATCAGAAGAGCAATCTGCCATCACGTCGACGTACTACAAAAATATTCCTAATATATGTATTTTGAACGCGACCACTTTTCGACAGACACTGAACTCCATTCACAGTKGAGCTATTAACACCTTCATTGAGTCTCTCTCACAGTGGATGGCGTACTTGGAGTACACACCCYACCTACTGCAGATTAAGAGCTCAAATTGCCGCGTGAAACAAGACAGACACCAGCGCAACTTCGGTCTGGGTATTGTAACAGGTTAATTTCTACTTATCCAGAATTGACACTCATATAAAAAATCTACGTTCTGCATGCAATGAGTCTCCACATGACACTAATCCCCTCTTTGAATGCCTAATTAAACCAGAGATCTTTCTGTGATCCGCTCAAGTTTTGAGCAAGTGATCTAACACCTAGCAGAGCTTATAATGTTCCTKTTATTGAAACTGTTATCCAAACTCTATTTGGGTGAAGAGGCGTAAATTAATTGTCATCGAAATGACTTAACAATAGGTGCAGCAGACTTGCAGTTTCGACGGCKTCGGACCATAAGGGTGTTAGATGATTACCACAGCAACCGGCTCTACATCCAGAGTCTGTTATTTCGGCGACTTCGGTAAGTAGTAGTAACAGAGCTTATCTTAATTGGTCGGGGCTTTAGTCAATGGTGAAGCCATTCCGAAGGTAGAAAAGTGGTGTTGGGGAGGAATTATGTAATGGTAGAGTCTCGAAAGAACAGTAGAGATATTACTGGAAATAATACATAACAATCGAACCAGCTTATATCACACCTCAACGTACTCAAGCTAAGTCCTCGTGCAATAAATTCCAAGTGTTGTATGACCATTGAAACGAACTCCTCTGACGCCTCTTTAATACGACGGGTACCTTTCCCACGACAGTAATTTTTTCTTTTTTTTTTTTAATATTAGATTTGGCATTGATAGTAATGGAACTCTGAATCGTCCGAGCTTTAGCCATACCCTGTATTCACTCGGCTCATAGTTGATAATAATTTTCAAAGAATCAATACTCCAAAATCCCTCAAAAAGTCAAGAAAGGTGGAGTTCAATTTGCTCTCATATCTCTGAGGCTCCGTTCGATCTAACCGAAGTCGTTGGAGCAAACAAGCTCCTCAGCTCATTTCGCTTTTGCWTTCGCTTCTCCTTCCGAAAGTGCCMGCTTCTTTTSGTTTGACTRAAGTCAGATGGAGGACAGGCAAGCATTTTTGAAGTGT